TACGCCAATCCATTTTCCCTCCAGAAGTAACCACTGCTGTAATCATGTCTCCTATGACTTCTAAAAGATCAAAGTGAGCCCTCATGGAATGTTGGGAAAGATGAACTACTGGGTGCGTTTTACATAGAAATTCCAGCTACAATGGGATTTCCAAGAATTTACCTTTGAGAAACAAATGAACAAAAATGAAATCTGTTCTTTCCTCGAGAGCTCTTTGCACATAATTAAGAAAGTGCTAGGAAATAGAAGTGGAGACCAGTGAAGAGAACACTGAGTCCAGGGCTCTCTGAGTTCAAGGCTGGGAAGGCTTTTGTGACCTTCTCACCCAAACCTGTGATGAGACTTGTTCCCACATTCTACCCACCACTTGAATGGTGGTTCTCTGCTGCCGCTTTGTCTGCACATACATGGAAAAGCTGCGTTTAGTTTTGAAGGCCAAACGTCTGCTCCTCACTCTCATGGCACCTTCTGCATTGGTTTTTAACTGTGACTGCACGTGCTTTATTGAAAGGAGATTATAGGAGTAGAAACGGGACATCAGCTTTGGCTAGGTCATGTGGGTAAGAATATGAAATATTCTGCACAGGATATTTGCTCTTTTAAAATTATACATGGCTTAAGCTTGATTTTAAGGTTAATATTTATTTTTGGAGATTCAACCTTTTTCTAGATTTCCATGACTAAAAGATTACAAATCTGGATAGAAGAGGAAAGGCCCCTATGGGATAGATTAAGGAGTGTCAGTACACTTAGAAAGAAAAGTACTGTAGAATGGGTGACACATGACCCAGGTAACTGAGATTCTGCAGCTGCTGATGGCACATGCCAGAACCAGTTCACCAGTATCTTCCAGTGACCAGTTACTTCCTTGTAACTCCACTGGGTGTGATGAGCAGTATGGCCAAGGCCATCCATCACTCTGCAGGCTTTTTCATAGCCCCTCTGTTTCCTGGCTGGATTATTTATGTAACATTATTCAGCATGGGAAAGGCCAGCTGTTAAAGTTTTAGAATCAGCAATAAGAACATATTTTTATTAGCTCTTTCATCTTGTCTACAGTGTTTTTCTTAGTTTAAATAATGATAGCAGCATGCTAGCTCCTCCACTGTAACTCTGTGTGCTTTTGGAGGGCAGAATGTTCTTTTCATAGTTCTGGAGTTCCAGAAGGAGACATATCGCAATAGATATGAATCCAGCATGTGGGACTGTCTAATCACCAGGGAGGTTGAATTCACACACCTGCGTGGGAGATGTAGTGCTAAAACAACAGATCTAGTCTCAGGTTGTGATAGCACAAGGGAGACAAGAGTTTAGTATTAGATTTGAGTTAAAAGTGGTACTCTCAGTATTTTGTCATATGTCAACTTGGTTAAGCAATATGTTTCTACAATTGCCTTTCCTATAAAGCTCAGGCTAGCATAGACCACAGCAAAGAGTATGAAATGTGTTTAGGAAGATGAAGCATTACATACATATATAACAGAGATCTGCCAACTAAACTAATTTGGGAGAGGAAACACATGAGCCTAAGAAGATTCTACCTTCCCTTTGGTAGGTAGAGTCTAGCCTGACTCATGGGAGAGATGGGGCCAGCTCTAAGATAAAGGGTGCTGGCTTCTTCTAAGAACAGCCATGGTAATAAGGTCACAACAAGAATGTAAACAGTTTGTAGAGATGAATCTCCCCCACCTGCCTTCTCCTGAATAACCAGTCAGAGGCTTAATATTAATTTCAAATTGTTTGGCCTATGGCTCAGGCTTATTACTAGCTAGTTCTAACATCTTAAATTAACCCATTTCTATTAATCTGTGTATCTCCACTTGGCCAGTGGCTTACCAGTTTTTTCATATCTTGCTTCTTGGGTGGCTTGCTGGTGTCTCTCGACCCTGCCCTTCTTCTCCATCTTCAGTCTGAATGTACCACCTAACCTTATCCTGCCTTGCCATTGGCAAAGCAGCTTTATTTATCAACCAATGAGAGCAACACATTCACAGCATGCAGAAAGACCATTACTATGTTAAAGTTAAAACCTTCCTTTTTGATTAGACAGAAAAGGGGAACTGCTGTGAGACATCATTCTGTACACCATGAGTATGTGTTGTTCTCATTGGTTAATAAAGATGCTTTGCCAATGGTGAGGCAGAATAAGGTTAGGCAGTACATTCAAACTAAAGAGGAAGAAGGGTGGAGTCAGAAGAGATGCCAGCCAGCCACCCCAGGAGCAACAAGATACCAGCAGACCTGTAAGGCCATGGCCACTTATAGATTAACAGAAATGGGTTCATTTAAGATGAAAGAACTGGCCAGCAAGAAGCCTGAGCCATTGACCATATAGTTTGTAATTAATATAAGCCTCTGTGTGCTTACTTGGAGGAATACCTCCAACTACAACAGGTTGAATTCATCCTTAAATATTTATAGCTCCAATATTTGACACAGAAACCATAATATAGAAGCCCCTACAATTATGAAAGTTCAAATCCTTTGCATGTGTGAGCCAGCGTTTTCTAGGGTTCAAAGCCCTCTGATTTAGTCTTTTTTTCTTTTAATCTGACACACTGTTCATTGAATCACTCACTATGTTTAATTCTATTTACTAGTTTTCTATTTCTCTATTACCTTAATTGTTAAGGTCTTTCCTAGCTCTTTTGAATATACCATTCCTTTGGTCATGATCTTTGACTGTGAGAGGTCTTAGTATACCCATCAAATTCTTGGGCTGGACTTCTGTGAATAAGTAAATTATCTTTCAGGTCTCTTTGGTCTTCACTAGAGGTTGTGTATGCTTTGTGTCCTCCCTCCCCCCTTTTTTTGGTCTCAACTAAAACCTAGGTTCTTTGAACACGATTTGCATGTTTCTACATTGAGTATTTTGACCTTAGCAGTATCTGGCATATTCAAGTCATCAAACACCAAGAGTTCACCTATGAATGGAATAGGAAATATAGACGGTCCTAGCTGGTGGGTTAGCAATGAAGGCATCAGTTTTCCTTCTCTGGAGGAGCTGAAGACTATCCTGAACTCCACTGTTATGTTTGTTCTCTGTGACAGGCCAACAGAACTGCTTAGGGATTGAGGGATCATGTCAGTAGTATTCGGTCACACTTCTTTCTGTTACCTGCTGACATTACACTGGACTACTAAGAAGATACCTGCAATTGAAATACTGAAAAGAAAAAAGAGTTCTCCTACCGCATTTGTTTAGAACCATCACCACACTTCAGGTGTTGATTTATGTAGAAGCAAGAACAATAGCCTTTTAAATGACCTGAATGCTTCCTCCTCAAATAACTTTTCAGAAAATTCACCCAGCTTTGTTATTCTCTATTGGGTGTTATATAACTTTAATTTCACATTATAAACTTCTTAACAACCTATTTTACAAGTCATCATTATTTTATCTTCCAAGGCTTATTATAGGTCTTAATTGTAACATTTATTTAAAGCTGAAAAAAAAATGACTTCTATCTAGTAATCAAAAGGAGAAAAAAATACTTTCTATCCTTTGAGAATGCTCACATATTTTCAGGATTTCCCTACCTTTATAATTTCCAAGATCCAATCCTTCTATGCCAATGTGGGCCAGCAGATCAGTTTTAATATTTGGATATTGCAAAGGAATCTTTTTATAGTGCTGACCATCTTGAAATCCTTTATGCCTTAAACATGTGTTTCTTTAAAACAGTTTAATCTTTGCATACTACTTTCTCAATATTTAGCCTAGGATGAGTAGTTTATCAAGTATGTTGGAAGAGGCTGACAAAGTCCAGGTTTGAGCACTTAACAATCTCTACACATTTGTTTTAGGCCACTTACCTTGTCAAATAAAACCTTAAGAGTAGTATCTGGCTATCACACTACTAAACGGGTTCTCATCCCCCATATTACATGTGTATGTGTAAGTAACTCAACCTAACTTCCAATATTTTACTTTTTAAAATCCTGTCCCCTGTTTTGTTTTGGTGAAGGACGTCTATGTAAACCCTCTGAATTAAAAAGATTTTCCTTTCCCATATATATTAGGTTTAATGGTCTATTACAATGCCATTTTGAGTTAAGAGAAATGAGAAATTTAGTAATTGTTTTTAAATCAACTGCAAGTCACAATGCACAGTAAGGTCACACAACATACTAAGTGACTACAATCCTGCTGTCACACTTGCTGTATATTTTGAATTTAAAGCCCAATTAAAGGCAAAATTGCTACTCACTGGTTAGGAAAAACATCTTTCAGGAACAGGTGGAAAAAGGCTTGCACATGTTGATTTCAACCTGGGAAGACTACAGTACGAAGAGCATGCTTTCTAAAGCAAAGAACATTCCTTTAGTTCTCAAAAAAACTGTGATAACTAGAGGTTTTGGACACAAACTGATAGCTACTTTCCACAATATGCTATCTGTAGGTCCTCAGTTGAGATTACATTTGAAATTGTTAGTAATCAACAACTGCTATTTTCACAGAGAATTGGAATTCAACCACCTCTGTGACAATTCAAGACCAGATCCAAAACAAACGAAGTCAATCACTGTTTTGGCTTTTGAGGATGCTTATTTCCCGCACTGGTGGTAATACAGAAACTTTTGGAGTTGGAATCTGTTCTGAAGTAGGTCTCTAGAGGAGGGCCACTGAAGGATAGAGCTTGGCCTAGTCTGTAGCTTCTGGCCTCATTCTCAGCTCCCTGCTGCACTATGACTTTTTGAGTCTGTCACACATTCTTTCAGAAACTCCATTGTGTCTAGAAGGGAAACAAATACCTCCCAAACTTTCCCTTTGTTTCTGTCTGGTATCACGGTCACAGCAATACAGAAGTCATTTCTTCCGATACTCAGGGTTTGTAAAGATGCAGTGACGAGACTACGTGGGTAGTCTTAAGAAACAAATCAATAAAATATCACCTCCAAACTTATCTTGGCATGTCCACACTTAGCGTAGATAACTACTCTAGTTATAATGGCCACCCTGTAAGTTTTATACCCTGCTTTAAGAAAACAAAACTAGAAAGATTTTGACAATTCACTTTTTATTACATAGCAGACATAGGAACTAACCAGAGTAGGGTGATTACCTCCACTTTTAAATACGATAGTTCTCTTTTCTCCAAAAGGTACTGGAATGGCATGTCAGTTTATTTCAGAATTAGTTTAGAGCAAAGGAGAAACAATATGAAGTTATTTCTCAGAAGCTAGTCAGTTTCTGGTGAAGGTCACAGGGTCATTGCCAGCACCACTTTGAGAACATGTATTATTACTAGATGATACAAAAGTAAGAGAAGAGTGGCCCCTAAGTATTTTCAGATTGCAAAGATGGAAAAACTTTCCAAGGGTTTTTGTGAAGCTTAAGTTCTTGATGAGTGGGAATATTTTCTGTGCATCCAGGAAATGTAAACAGTGCACTTTTGGCGTGGGTATTTGCTTTAACATTGGGGACTACTTTTATCAGATGGTATACGAGATTTTACAAGTTTCTGAAAACTCTGTCTTGACTGCCTAGTTGCCTTTACAATGTTTAGAGAAATATCAAGAGAATATACTATTGTATTCCACTGTCAACCTTTTTGTTCATAGACCAAGGGAAATTTAATTATCCCCCTGAAGGATTTGTGAGGCAGGAGGAACAAGACACAACTTCAGTTTTGAGGTAGGTAAAATACATGACTCTCCATGACGTCTGCCCACCTAATGGTTCACACCATATTTCATCAGTGCCACAACACACTAAGGGACATATAATCCCTAACATCCAACTGTGGTTTTGCAAACCACTGCCAAGTTCAACTGATTCCATGCTCTTCTAGAAGCTCTACCCTCAATGAACCATTGTTCTTCATTTTCTTCTAGAACCTTGGGATTATCTCAATAACAAGTGCTAGCATATTATACTTCATATACATTAGTCTCATCTTTAATGTACATTATGAATAAAGAGAAAGCACTCAGATTTTCTTTCTTTTTTTTTTTTTTTCGAGACAGGGTTTCTCTGTGTAGCTTTGCGCCTTTCCTGAAACTCACTTGGTAGCCCAGGCTGGCCTCGAACTCACAGAGATCCGCCTGGCTCTGCCTCCCGAGTGCTGGGATTAAAGGCGTGTGCCACCACCGCCTGGCTAGATTTTCTATTTTCAATGGTCACACACCATATGAAGTGTGTAAATGTTTCCTAAAACATACTATTTACAAGTATTAAATATTTTTCACAAATAGTGGCAAAGATGTGTTGGACTCTGTAAACTTGGAAAAGTTAATTCATGGAAATACGTGTCATCCTATAGTATGAGACTAAGACTTTATTATGAAGATGAAGAAATTTATAAATTTCATATTCTTACTAACCCCAGCAGGAAACATCTTGAATGGAATCATATAAGATAGTTTCTGGTATAGGCAGAAAAGATATTAGCAAGACACTGGACTGGAGTTTAAAAGACAAATATGACATATATGTGGCCTTTGACTATCTTGCAAGACTACTTGGAAGTAAGACATGTCCCTGCCCTGTCAATGACACCGATGAAACTCATCAGGAACCAAACGCCAACACAGAACAGATTGTGAGACATGGATTAAAGACTCAAGCCAGCTAGGTAACCAGGGAGAACACGTGGAGCTTGCTGGCTCTGGGTCTCAATGGCCCCCTCCCGCTGCTGTAAACTGTCTCTGTGCAGAGGCCAGCTGCCCGGTGTGCTTTACTGCTTCTCCACATCCCACCACAGCACAGAGCTGAATATTCTGTGGGCTTCACAACCCTACATCACTCTGTGGCTTGGAAAATAGGAGTCAGTTTTCACACATCGAAAATGTTAACTGCTCTTCTTTATAAAATCTTGTAGCTTTGTATCTTTCCTACACTCCCAAGAACTCATACTTTAAAAGAGCAGGATGGTAGGGTAGAAATAAGCTGCTATACAGTTAACTGTTTTATCTGTCTCTTCTCATTTCCATATACACTGTCTGAAATGGCAAATTAAACAGAACATCTTAGACTAGATCCTTTATTCTCTCCTTTTTATGAGATGTGTTCTAACTTAGGAAAAAAGTTGACAACACTTCTGGAAAATTCAGTTGGTAGCAGAGATGCACAACAGGTGGCCACCCTGAAATCAGACCTTGAAAGGTTACTGTGCACAAATATGCTGATGAGGGAGTCCTACTTTTGGGATGCCCTGAAAATCCTTGACCTAATATGAAGCCCAAGATGCAGTTCAGAGTAGAATAATTACCATATGATTTCCTGTCCAAAGTACAATACACCAGTTTTAACTAGCTACTGACATTCTAAAGATCTTTTTGAAAACAGATAATCCCAAGAAACCACAAAGTAAGCGTCCTCGATGTTACCCTAGATATGATCCATATAGCTTCAAGCAGTCTGTAAAAGCTGGTGGTCTAGCGAGCTTTGTGCCTGTTTGGGCTACAGAGTGATAGTAGATACATGCTGCTTTAAAGAAGGCTTCAAGTTCAGCACTTTTTGTTTCTGTAGGAATTTCATTTCTAAGAAAAAGTTTCCCTTTTACTTTTAAAGGTACAGCCCAAACCAGTATTTAAATGATAAATGTTATGTGTAGTAAGCATTTTCAGGTAGATTTAATTCCTCTTAGCTTTGAAACAGCACTGGATTTCCAGCTGAACCTGAAGAACTGGTGAACACCAACTTCTAAGTGCCCTTTGATATGTATGCTTCATCGCCAGTCTTCTCACACCCATATTACAAACTGCCCAAATTCTTGCTTCGGTGTTAAAGCTGAGAGATACTTAGACCACAGTATCCAGACTGAGCAGGTATGAGATGTGTTTATCATCTACAAAGTCAGAAGTGATTCCAGTTTAAGATGACAGAAAAGAAACCAGATTTAAAGTGATGCACTAAAAACACAACAAACCCACCTTTGGGATAACTACAATGGCTGCTCTATTTGGAAGGTTTGACACTAAGAGAATGAAAACCACATGAATTAAGTCTATCACTGTTCCACTGCTTTTTCCATTCTTTTTCATAGGATGGCATCTATGTCTTTGACCACACTTGACCAGAAGCCTCACTCTTATGTTAAAGAAATATTTTTACACCTGTAATAATTTGCCAAGAACAGAGGTACTCTGGTTAGCAATCACAATGGTTTAAATATGAATGCAATCCATAGAACAGTAACAACAAAAATAGAACAGTTTTTCTCAATACAACAGGCCAGTCGTTAGAAGGTCTCACTCTGTGAAGACATTTTCAGCCCAGTGAAAGGAGCCTGTGGAATCCGCCCGCCAGCTCTGTGTTCTACTTCGTGCCCTCAAGAACCTTATGAAAAGCAGTCCCCACACAACAGAACGACGTTTGCCAGAGTGTAATACTGGATGACAGAACTGAGGTTGATCGCTATAATCACATTCCCGTGTATTAAACTGTTACATCTTAATTATTTATATAGCTCATTGGTCCAACAGCATAAAAACAGAGAACAGCATCTCAAAATTTATCTCATTTCATGTTCAGAGATAAAAGGGTTAACTATTCTTCCCGTTATTTTCTGGAGGCAAGTCCTTGTTTACAGAGTCTGATGGCAATCACACACTGGTAGTTTCCAAAGCTACTGTATGAAGAGGATGCTGAAGGCCATCACTATACAGCATACGGCAACATAAGGACTCTTGCGCTCACCTGTTGAAAGAAGGAAGACATTCAACTTAGTTGAACGAATGACTAATACGGATATGATAAAGTTACTACTGAGAGATGAGAGAACAAGGAGCCAGAGGCAACAAAAAACAAGCTCAATACAAACTGGCTAACAAGGTGTTAGAATTGCAGCCCAACACAAGGCAACAACAACCCAAACCATTCTCATCACGTGCTGTGTCCATGTGCCTTCATGCCACACTGCATGGTGGAGGTTAGAGGACAACTCTGGAGTGGGCTCTTAACTGTCTTTCCAACTGTCTAAGAATTCTAGATCTTGAACTCGGGTTATCAGGCACGTGCTTCTTCATGCTGAGCCATCCTGTGGGCCCATCCCAAGATTTTATTTTGTTATTATTGTTTTTGTAACTCTGTGTAGTTTGCAAGTGTGAACTATGTAGATGACAACGTCACATCTCAATGTAAAAAGGCTGGACATGGCTAGCTGCCAAGCTATTTCCGAGACTTGTTCCTAAAAGTACCAAGGCTGTGCCCCTATAGAATGTAGTAGAGAGCCAAAGAAATACTCTCCAGCAACTCAGAGCCAAAGGATAGTTAGCTCTCTTTCTGAAAAAATAAACAAACAAAAAACCCTAAAAAACATAAAAAAGAATGTCTACCCTAGGAATCTAATGCACAGCATTCAGCAATATTTTCTTTATATCATGGTACCAGTTCATGACACTTGAAGCCACTCATATGCGAAGACCAGCAAGATTGCCAACATTATCCCATTAAAAAAACAGGCATAAGCTCCCCCAAGGTGATGACTACTTCTGATAGATATGGTACCGAGTCTTTTACAGTCAAACATTCTTTATTCAAAATGTTTGGGATGAGAAGGTTTTTCCATTTGGGAGATTTTTGGAATAACTGACTACATTTCATTGATTGAGTATCCCTAAAAAGCTGGAAATTCTCTCATGTTTGAATATTTTGGGTGCCATTTCCACTCACAAAGTTTCCGAAATCTCAATATTTCAATAATTTAAAAGTAGATGTTAAACACAGTAACTTCTTGAATGAGTCAATTCCATATTCATTTAAGAGTGTCTGTATTTGAGACTTTCCTTCACTGATCTAGAGATCTGATGTTGGCTTGTGAAAATGTCTTGGCAGCACACAGACCCTGTAAGGGGAAGTCACCTCACTTTAATTGTTGCTGCTCCTTTAGTAACTGTAAGCTGTACTGATTCAGAGGACGGCAGGCACAAGAAAGAAAGCAGCAGTCACATGGAAGCATCCGGGTTCTTTGCAAGCCTAAGACCCGGCTCTGACTAGCCTTACGTTCTTCCATGATGTCTAAGCTTCACTGCAATATAACTAGGCGCCTTAGTTCACCTTAGATCCTCATTACCTGGCTCTCATGAATGTCAACCTTGACACCCTCATTAACTAAAATTCCCACGGTCACTGTAATGTTCAGAGTCTCTTCACTGAGCCCACACTGATATGTTAATATGTTTATGTCTATTCAAAGCCAAAGTCACAGAAGTATCACATATAGTTTAAAAAGCAGACATTTAGCCAGGATTTTTGCCTACAATCCCCTCTTCCAGGAAGATCACCCAATCAATGTGGTCCACAAATGTGTCCTCAGATCTAAACCAAACCAAACCAAAAAACAAAACAAAACAAAACAAAAAACCCAAATTAAACCATACTAAAGCAAAACAAAAACCACAGATTTGGTGTTCTCAAAGTTTTTTTTTTTTTAAATTCCCTTTGCCTTTCCCCCTTTCCTCTCAACAGACATTTAATAGACTGCCTTCTATTAAAGGAGGATCTATACTGAAAATGGGGTTTTTAGAGTAACATTAACTAAAAAAAAAATTTAAAACAACACACTGGTTTACAATGCTAATTCATTAGGGCTAAAGTCCCACAAAGCACCTCACTGATCCATAAACTTTAGGTAGATGTCATAAAAGCCTGTTATTCTTTTCAGGGCTGGTATGTTCATTGCTTAGCACAGTCATAGTAAACACCCAAAGGGAGCAATTATCCCTGTACTGAGTTTTCCATCTGCTCAGTATTAATTCTTGAGGAAGTTCTTTTCTTTCTCATCTCATGACTTAGAATGCTACAATTTACAGATGGGTTTCATTTTCATGTTTTTCATTTTCTTAAAAGAGATTGCCATGTGGTAGAGCTAAACATCTTTAGTTGAACTTGAGTAAGAACGTTGCTTGTCAGGTTGCTGCTTTGTGCAATGAATGGGAAACAGTTGCTGTCATGTGATATCTAGTAGTATAAGATGATCTGACTGTTCTGTTAAAATCGCATCCTTTTTTGTGTAGATAGTGTCAAGAATAGAGAGGAGCAGGTGCTTGAAAATGGTGTCTCAGCACCAGAGTTTTCAAGGCTAGTTTGCTAAAATAAAGCAAATGCTTTCATTCTTGTAAGAAGAAACACTTTTAAGTGAGCCATTCAGAATGGGGGGGGGGGAGACATATAAATAAATAAGCAAGCACAAAGAAAGGAATTTATACCAAGGCAGAAAAACAGCATATTTGAGGAAATCATTAAGACAAGTATATACTACATGTCTGAAGCTTTAAGCTACCCCCACGTCTAGTCATAATTATGAACAGAAAGGACACTTGGGTTGGCTATTAAACAGAATTGTCTACATGTCTAATTCCTACATAAAATGGACCTAAAATGCATCTTTATGTTTTCTTTTGGAGTTGACAACTTTCTATGATGGAGATGAAAACTCAGCTCATCAGTGCCAGATCTCTGGTGTCTCTCTTGCAGTTATACTTAGGTTCTTAACTACCTTGTTCTTGGTTATACTCTTGGTTATATATACTTTCTTTTCCAGGGTGACTTGACTCCTAGGCAGTTTGGTTTACTTATACTTAGCGATAAGCATTAGGTACTGAGGGTGGTGATCTGCTTCTCTTCTTGGTTCTTTTTGAAGTATTCAAGACTCCTTCTGTTAGTTTTGGGTTTGGAGCCATTATTTGTGACTAAGTGGCAGACAAGTATCCATACAAATCTCTGTAAATCTAGGTCAGGCTTTTCCAATGCTAGCATCACTAACATGTTGGACTGGATAATTTTATTGGGAATGGCCATATACATATTGAATGATGTTTAGGGAACTCAGTAACCTACCTATATTCACTATATGTCCCAGACTCTAGTTTTGACAATAAATTGTTCAAGGTATGTCTAACTTCATGCCATGGAGATACAACACTGTTATCTACAAAATTCATGCATAAAGAGTACAATAAAGAAACACAAATCTCAAAAAGTTGTTTTTTTTTTTTTTCGGGGGGGGGGGGTTTCGAGACAGGGTTTCTCTGTATAGTTTTGGTGCCCGTCCTGGATCTCACTCTGTAGACCAGGCTGGCCTTGAACTCACAGAGACCCGCCTGGCTCTGCCTTCCAAGTGCTGGGGTGAAAGGTGTGCGCCACCACCACCTGGCTAGAATCTCAAAAAGTTTTAAGTGACAGCGTTGGGCTGTAAGCTGAACACATATGCTAGAGTCCCAAATATTCCCTGAATAATAATCTCTTGTCTAGGCTACACATATTCTTTTGCTAATTTAAAGCCAATTATATTTCCCATGATAGAAAGATTCTTATGCTTATTTCCACAGGAAAGAAGAAAACATCAAAAAGAACACAGAGGAATCAAAACTTCATGTTAAAAGCACACTAAATTGTCAGGGGGATAATGCTTATTTCAGAATGGCTTTGAATAAGGTATTTTTCTGTGAAATCCTTTGTTCTTATCAATTATCCAGAAGACATAGAAACTTAAGGATAATTTAGTATTAGATTGCTAATTTCTCTTAGGAACTTGCCTATCATCTAAAAGTCCAATGGAAGAAAACCTTTTCTAAAAATTAGTTCAATGACTAACAAACAGCGTCTGAACACTGAAGACCAATTTACACCTCAACTGTGCTTAGGTATGTTACACTGGTTTCCAGGTCTTTAGAAAAACATCTAAGTATTATTGAGCTTAGTTTGTACTGTGAAACTTTCAACAACTTTGTTTCCTGTTACACACAATCTTCTAAGCTTTTTATGTCTCCAAGAAACTGGAAACAGAAAAAAAAACCAAAACAAAACAGGAGAACCTAGGAACAAGGGATAGTTTCCCTCAGGAATGGGACTTATATATCCTTAATCCTAACTCAAGGATTAAGTTTGGGACATGTGGTCTGTTGATAAACTAGCTAAAAAGACAGACGTATTTTTTACATTATGAAATTAACTGTGTTTTGACAGAAGAAAGTAGTTTCACAGAAATTCAAGGCTAATAAAATATTAAAAGATAACAAATTAATATATATACATGTATATGTATTTATGCATGTATATATATCATGCAAATAATTCCAAAGAGGACAACAAATTTCATTTTCAGTCTAAGTACAAATGCCACAAAGCATTTTTTAATTAGACATGTTAAAAATGATATAACCGATTATTAAAAACTACTAGTACTTTTGAATTGCATTTCATTTATTTACTGATCATTGAATTTATGTGAACAGTGTCAAGTGTGAGGATAAAATAAGACGTTAGCCCAATGTATCACAGGCATACTTAAAATGTAAAATCTTACTATTTCTATTAGATGTGAAGCTCATCCTTAGTTATCCAAACAGTATCATGAGGGCTGCTGAGATGACTGAGTGAGTAAAGGAACCTGCTGCCAAGCCTGCCTCTGCAGGAACCATGTGTGGGAAGGAGTAAAGTAGCCACTACAAGCTGTGCTCTGAACTTCACATGTACAGTGTGACATGTGCACCCTCACCCTTACACAAATATATATAAAAAAAAACCCAAACCTTAAAAAATGTAACAAAAGCTTTAAAATTCTAATTTACAAATTATCAAAATAGCATACATGATTCAAAAGAGCATGGTATAAACATGTACTAACGATACTGTCTAAATTTGCTGCAAGTCCAGAGACACACGGGATCTGATACTTGATTTCAATATGTTAATTCATTAAGCTTCAAGTTCCTTATCCTTTTCAGAAGCAGAAAAGTTATATTAATTAAGTAGTAATTTTGAGAACATGGTACATAGATAGTACTAGAAGATTTATTTCTTACAGAATATAGCTCTGTGTTTTATCATTTTTCCAACCTCCTGTTAATAAAACATTGCAAAGTCTCCCATTACATCTACTTTTTTTTTTCTTTTTTTTTTTTTCGAGACAGGGTTTCTCCTTGCAGCTTTGCGCCTTTCCTGGAACTCACTTGGTAGCCCAGGCTGGCCTCGAACTCACAGAGATCCGCCTGGCTCTGCCTCCCGAGTGCTGGGATTAAAGGCGTGCGCCACCACCGCCCGGCTTACATCTACTTTTAAATAGCAGAAAGAAAACCGATTGGGAGAATTCCGTAAATTCTTGCAAAAAGAGTACAGAGGATTGAGAAGCCTAAAACCGACATTTGATTGCCATGTGTATAATATAACTAAAGTGGCCAATAATTTACAGCAGAAGAAATGAATGGAGATTAGACACTTACCAATTCGGGCACACTTCCAAAATATTCCCAATAGTCTATACAGAATAAAAAAGAACAAAACATTTCCTGATTACTGGGAAAGCCAGTTCATTTACGACAACATCAGAAAGAACAATAATTCTACATACTGGATTTTAACATCTGCTTGTTGGACATGGAGCCATCACTTATATATGAAAATAGGACCGGATACACCAAAACCACCATTGGACAGAAGCCACTATTAACTGGACTATATGTGTGTCACAGGTCAGAACTAGGGTAAGTTAATGTGATAGTGGTGAAATTTATACAAGAACTCACTGAATTAATTCTATTAACTTCAAGTTCCTCATCACTTTCAAAAGTAGAAAAATTACTTGTTAATTTAAGTAGTAATTTTGAGAAAATGATACATGAAGAGAGTTTTTTGTAATATACTAGAAGATTTATTTCTTACAGAATATAGCTCTGTGTTTCATTAGTCTATAATTGTACACTCTAATGCAGTCCCTACCTGTGCTCATCAACAAGGAAATTAACATAAATGTGTGGTTACATTTTTAATATAATGAGAATTATTAGTTTAGGTGGAAGTAAGCATGATTTTATTAAGCATGACACTTAAAATATATATTCTAGGAATAACAAAACGAAGATGTTCTTTTTAATTCCATGAATAAAACAATTATGAATTAAATATACACACATAAAGGACATCACTTATTTGGAATACATAAAAAACAACAGCTTTGGCAAAAGCAAATGAGCCATCAACAGAGAAATTTAAAGAAACAGTACAGCTACCATTTTGCTGGTTTGAGAATAATATTATACATACCTATAATTATATTTATCTATTTTTATAATTATATTTATAAATGGTATACTAATTAAGACAAATCAATCTTACTTATTCCTTATATGAAGACTAGATCAATAAAATTATAGAACTTATATTTCAGGGATATTTCTATATTTTTTCCTTCATAGAAAGATGGTCAGTTAATCATCCCATGTGAACAGCAAGCTAACAGGCAAATACAAGTCTGAAAATAATCTAAGCTACTGCCAAGGCCAGACTGTGCTCTAACTCAGCCCTACTTATTGCTGTGGGGCTGTGAGGACGTTCTTCATCTCTTTACTAACAGTCTCCACGCCCAGAGCACTTTATGAGGAGTAAATGATTAGATAGAGTCTGTGTTCAGGAATGTCAGGACTAAAGGATCATGGGACAGAACTCTAGGTACTACTCAGAATTGGCTTATTCTTTACTGAAGAGTAGAAAACTGAGGTCACCCATGCAAAGCCATGTGTGTTGATTCTAGGCACCTATGGGTCACAATAAACACTAAGGATTTGAAGCCACTCTGGTTAGTTGAAGGACACAGCGAGATATCTGAAGCGCCTTCATGGGAAACTCAGAACCCTGAACAGTTTGAAATCACTAGACCACAAAAGGCAGGTCTTTCCAGGTCTGATATGCTAGAAATAAGGAGCTTTTTTTGAATCCTAACCTGGACTTAGTTCAGACCTATCAAGTATCAGTGAGTTGCTTCAGTGAGTTTCCGAAGACATGCATCTGTAACATTTTTATTTTGTTTTATTTTTTGAAAGGAATTTTTTGTTGCTAAAAAGCACTCCAATCAGTTGCTTAATTTCTATGGCTTGAATGTATCTGCATCTGCTGATAATGCTATTAGGGTTAGTAGGAGGAAACTAGCTAAGAAGCAGTCTTTTAGTGCAGCCCTGTTCTAGACCATTTGAATCAGCTTTTAGAAAATGGAGTTAAATTTAAATAGTGAAGTCACCAAAAATGCATCACATCAGATATTTAGGGAACTCCACCTAAGCATGGTAAATACAATGACAAATTTATTGTGAGTCTCAGAGAAAACAAGTAAAGGAAAGAGAATCTAATAATTACTTTTACAGAAAAGTAGTTCTGATCTATAAGTAAAATTGTTTCTAATCACTTTAGCTTATACTTTAAAATGTATAAACAGGAAAGCCTTTTGGGGCCTTTAATGTAGGAGAAATATACTACTACTCAACCTGTACTGTAAGGTTGGTAGCCCTGATAACTCCTTGATCAATGTAGCATGTTATGGATACATTCCTACTCCCAAAGAAAAGAGGGGCAGACATGTCCACATGCAACTTCCCTTTGAATGAAAAATTTCATGACAGCACTAGAAAAGATAAATACTTGATTGGAATTTTAATAGTGACTACTTCATAAGAACTCCTATTTTCCTAGATCTTACTAATTATATTAGAATTCCAAATAACTGATTAACAGAATAAAATGCTAGGAGCTCAGAGAAGAGGGTGAAATGGGGAAAATCATGTTTATAAAGTTAATGGGGCACTGTGATAACAACTGATATATATTTAACATGTTTCATCTTCAGTTAGATAAATCTTTGGTCTGCTTTTATTCAGTAGGTGAAATATCAAGTCACACTGGATCATTTTTGAAATTTACTTATTAATTTAGTAAGGTACTGCAAATATATTTCAGAGCTTTAAAACATGAAGAAAATGTAAAAAGTTAGTCAAAACTAAGTTACAAATAGAATTAAACTGTCTAATGACTTTCATGGTAATTTACATTTGATGTTGGTGAGAACTGACTTGACTGATATCATTAGTAACATACCCAGTTTTATTTCTGTCCAGGAGGCTGGGTGCCAAGGATCGGATATAAGCACACGTACATATAAGCAGCAAGATTACAGTCAACAGACTCTGAAAATTGAAAATGGCAGACTATAAAGAGAGAGAGAGGAAAAAAAAAACAAATTAATATCACAAGAGAAAACTTTGTATCCAAAAAAATGCCAGACAATTCCACATTACAGGCAAACAAGATGTTGTAGAACATGCAAACCAGCACCATGAAGTCTTTCAAGATATTCTTTTCTTGCATTCTTTAAGGTAAAGAATGCAGGAGATGCAGTAGAAAATGTCAGTTCATGAAAGTGAATGTCATGGATTCAAAACGTCTGAGCAAAGTCGACTCAGTATATAATTAACACAGATGTTCAAGGCATGCAGCGTACTAGACAGCAAACAGTGTGGTGTCCACATGCTGCCAGTGGCTGGCTCTGTGACCCCAGGGGATCATTGTGCTCTTAGTCTTCATTTGGAATTTACAAACCTGGGCAGAGCCAGGGAGAAAGATTAAATACTGACTAAAGTTTCTTTCAGCCCAACTTTTTGCCTGGGATAAGCATAAATTATGAAATCATGTTCCAAGCCTTGACAAATATTAAGATTATTAGACATTGGTGAAAGAAAAGCACCTGCCTTTCCTTTTCAGCTATTTGTTATGTAATAGTTCCTTCCTCTATTGTAAAGTTTTAATAGGAATCCTATTATATATTTAAACAGGCAAACAGGAAACTATACATTTCAAGTGTAAATAAACCGGAGTTTGGCTCATTCTATCAATATTCAGGCCCTGTTCAGGAGCAACAAGTGCCCTAACTGCTGAGTCCTCTCTAGACTCTCAGCTCAGCTCTGTCAGGAAGTCTCCAGGAATCCAGCTGTCCTCTGTATTTCACACACAGTTATTTTCATGGCCTAGGCCACTTTTGAACTAGAGATCCTCTTGCCTTTGCCTCTCAAGTGCTGGGATTACAGGTGAACACCCATGCTTTTCCTTAGCAATCTCTTCTCTATCCCTCACCTAGCAACTGACACTTCCATTGTACAAGTCACACCCAAAGCGCAAACACTGCACTATCAGACTGTCAATTTCTAACACCTGGCCATGTGCTTGAAGCATAGTGCAAATCCAAAGAAAGATGTTTCACTCCTAACACTTCTAAGAAGTTGTAATAGCATCACGGTATGTGATAAAAACTCTTCCATTATTAGGCTCTTCCATTAGCAGGCACATAAAATACAAGAATTCCACTCAGCAGTTAACAGTATGCCTATTTAGTAAATTTAGAAGTAAAAATAGATTTCTTTTCTTTTTCTTTTTTTGGTTTTTGAAGACAGGGTTTCTCTGTGTAAAAGCTCTAGCTATCCTGGAACTTGCTTTGTAGACCAGGCTGGCCTCAAACTCCCAGAGAGCCCCTGGCTTTGCCTCCGAGTGCTGGGGGTTAAAGGCGTGTGCTACCATGGCCCGGCTAGATTTCTTAAAAACCAGGAGGAATATGTCATAATTATTTATCAAAGGTAAAATTGCTACTTGTAAATGAACTTTACTTGAAAATCTCAGGAGCTAGTGAAAAATGCTATAAACATCAAGGGAATTAAGCAAGGTAAGAGTAGTATAGGATCAAATCGCACACATCAATAACCTTCAGAATTGTAATATTAACCAAATGAAAGACGAAACAGAAAAAAAAAAGAGACTATAAAGATAGGAACTAGAACAAAAGAAATATCTTAGGAGGAGGAGGAGGAAGGAGGAAAGTAACCCCAAACCCCAATAATCACATTAAAACACATAGAAGGCCACTGTGTAGAATTAGGATAGACTGAACGAAATGCTGTGAAGCTAACCTATAAAATGAACTTAATAACAACACATGACTTCTGAAACAGGCAGCTGATTCTCAAGGTTAAATGTGAAAAAATAAGCAACAGACAGGAGAATTTTAAGAAGCCCTGTCAGGCATTACTAAAATTATTTTTACATATTTTTATAATTAAAACATCACTGAAAAAAATATAAGGATTGCACATTACCAATAGTGTTTTGTGTGTGCAATTTCATGGATTTGTACTTGTATGTGGAGACCAGAAGTTGAAGCTCATTATCTTCCTGCCACCCTCTACCTTCGTTTTTAAGGCAGGTTTCTCATGAAACTTGAACTTTGCTAATTCAGCTAACCTGGCTGGACAGCAAGTTTCTCAGTCTCCTGACTCTGTCTTCCCAGCCATGGGAATATCGGCCAACTTTGGAAAATGTAGGCACCAGGGGTTGAATTCAGGTTCTCATGCTTGCCCATTAAGCAACCCACCTACTGAGTCATTTCCCTAGCCCCACTTACTAATATAATCAGTGACAAAAATGCTTATATACAAATTGTAGCTATTGGCAGACACGATACAAGATCTCAATGCTAGTATAGTTTTAGCTCTGTAAAAACTGACACAAAGTGGGAGAATGAGGATGGCTGTGGATGGATTTTATAAGTGAGTGTTAGTTTTATGGTCTGAAAAGGATGAACAAAAACATTTGTAATCGCCATTAATGCTATGTAAAAAATTTGTTCACGTACACAGCAAAGGTGATATTTAATATGTATTGGCTTTTAATTAAATTTGGTTTTAAGTTGGCATCTGTGAAAACAAGTGGTAACTTATAAAAAATAATAAATAGGCCGGGCGGTGGTGGCGCATGCCTTTAATCCCAGCACTCGGGAGGCAGAGCCAGGAGGATCTCTGTGAGTTTGAGGCCAGCCTGGGCTACCAAGTGAGTTCCAGGAAAGGCGCAAAGCTACACAGAGAAACCCTGTCTCGAAAAAACCAAAATAAATAAATAAATAAATAAATAGAAAACACTGCCAAAATGGTTGTCTTTCAAACATCATTTGACACATACACGAATACATTGATAGTCTTTCCTCCTAGGCAAACGACAATATGCATATTTAGGGTACACTCTGGGAAATAAAGTTGACACTGAGGATTTTAAGTTAGAGTGCATGAATCTTTCCGTATTTGGGGCTTATTAACTAACAACTATTACTGACATTCATCTGGTATTCTTCTTTTTCAAAAAATAATTTATTTTATGTGCATTGGCATGAAGGTGTCAGATCCCCTGAACTGGAATTACAGATAGGTGTGAGATGCCACGTGGGTGCTGGGAATTGAGCCCCGGTGCTCTTAACCACTGAGCCATCTCTCCAGTCCCCATCTGGTATTCTTTTACACTATCATCTTCATAGCCAACACAGTCATTATTATCTTTATGTTATAGATGACACACACAGAGCAATTATCCAGTTAGAAAAAGATGGATACTTTCCAAACTAAACAGTAATATATTTTAGCAACTGTAAGAGATTGCTTGGAACCCTGGGGATTAAGACAGGTTTTCAAAAGGAAAAGCTTTAATAAGAAAGCAAACACATGACAATCCACAAATGATTTCATTTGGAAAGACCAAGAACATGGTAGGCTCCAGAAGAGACAACATGGCAGGCAGCATGTCTCTGTGTGTGTGTGTGTGGGGGGGGGCTGGCTAAGAAAGTGTAGAAATAATTAACAGACTTATATTTAAACAAAGGATTCCAGTGGTAAATGGTTAGTTTTACAATGTAGGTTTACTATGTTCCTAACAGGGTATCTAAATTGAGGATTTTATCATGTATCCCCCCCTCCCGCCAATGTCTTTAAAAATATGGTTAATGGTAAGACACTCAAGCTGGTCTCTCACTGATTGTGTGTGTAGGGGAAAGTGGAGTTGTCCATGAAATGCTGAGTATGCAAAAGCTCATCTTAGCCTTCTTTTTACCTTCCTGTGTTTGAAGGTTTTCATAATAAAAGATAAAACAACACTCACCATCATGCCTATTATTAAGTGGAATGTGTATATATACATTTGTGTGTGTACAATCATTTACAAATGAAAGCTGTTTACATGTACAAAATATATGATATATACAACTTTGCTCTGGGGTTTAGGAACTCTGTATTTTAAACAAATAATATTAAATGGTAAAGTCTTTCAGACGTACTTAGACTTAGGTCAAAAGAGTGTTTTCTATGTTATGGACATCAGCCTGTCACCTGCAACATTTCTCCTAATGCTTAGCATCTGCTGTCTACTGATACAAACTTAGTCTCTGGGTTAAGAGAAACAGATGTCCTTATTTAGTAGAAAAATAAATGAGACTTTCCATATGACAATGTTAATAAGGGAAGAATGGAAGCTAAACAAAGAAAATACATGATAACAAAATAGAAAGAGGCAAATTTCATTAATGACAGGCATTACTGAGAAAAACTAATGTAAATTAGACCACCGAGGACACTATTTTGCTAATTATCCAAAGTCCACAAACTGTTGTGAATTTATATTTACTTGTCAAAGACAGTTTGGAGAAATAAGCAAAGACAAAATATCCTGATTATGTCAAAGGCCTAGGCTGTGATGGATCAATATAATTTTTACTTAGTATTCACATCTATCACTACCTGCAACTCCAATGTTCTATCAGGAGCCTGACTTTGAGGGTGCTCACACCTTGAAGAGGTCGTATTGTTCTAACTCATTCTAAGACATACAACATATACATTTTCAAGAGGTTTGTATAGGTGAGTAAGTAAACTTGCTAACTGAAAACTCCAGATACTTAATTACTCTACAACTTAAAATATTAATTATAATATGCTAATTATCAAGGAGTCACAAATATATATGCTCTTGTGTGCTAATTTGCTAATGTTTACCTTTTAAAATCCATGAAGAGTACATGTAAATTTAGATAGTTACAGGTATCAAAGTAAAATACAAAACCCTTCACAGGGTTCCGACTTCTTTTCTTTCCTAGAGCAATGGTTCTCAACTTTCCTAATGCTGCGATCCTTTAATACAGTTCCTCATGTTGTGGAGACCCCCCCAAGCATAAAATTATTTTCATTGCAACTTCATAACTATAATTTTGCTACTGTTATGAATCGTAATGTAAATATCTGATATGCAGGATATCTGATTTGATCCACAAAGGAGTTGTGACCCACAGGTTGAGAATCACTGCCCTAGAGTAACTAGAAGATGATCATTGTTATCTTTACATATA